TTCAGAGGTTGTTTGTTTGGTTCGTTCATGCTAGGCTTGTTTGGTTACACAACTGGTCGGGGTTCGGTTACACAACTGGTCGGGGTCCGGTTACACAACTGGTCGGGCTCCGGTTACATAACTGGTCGGGCTCCGGTTACATAACTGGTCGGGCTCCGGGGGTGTCACTTGGGCTTCGGGTTGTGCATGGTCGGGCTTCGGTTCGTGCATGGTTGTGCTTCAGAGGTTGTTTGTTTGGTTCGTTCAAGCTAGGCTTTCGGTTACACAACTGGTCGGGGTTCGGTTACACAACTGGTCGGGCTCCGGTTACACAACTGGTCGGGCTCCGGTTAAATAACTGGTCGGGCTCCGGGGTGTCAATGGTCGGGCTTCGGTTCGTGCATGGTTGTGCTTCAGAGGTTGTTTGTTCTTCGTTCATGCTAGGCTTGCGGTTACACAACTGGTCGGGGTCCGGTTACACAACTGGTCGGGCTCCGGTTACACAACTGGTCGGGCTCCGGTTAAATAACTGGTCGGGCTCCGGGGGTGTCACTTGGGCTTCGGGTTGTGCATGGTCGGGCTTCGGTTCGTGCATGGTTGTGCTCCAGAGGTTGTTTGTTCGGTTCGTTCATGCTAGGCTTGCGGTTACACAACTGGTCGGGGTCCGGTTACACAACTGGTCGGGCTTCGGTTACACAACTGGTCGGGCTCCGGTTAAATAACTGGTCGGGCTCCGGGGGTGTCACTTGGGCTTCGGGTTGTGCATGGTCGGGCTTCGGTTCGTGCATGGTTGTGCTCCAGAGGTTGTTTGTTCAGTTCGTTCATGCTAGGCTTGCGGTTACACAACTGGTCGGGGTCTGGTTACACAACTGGTCGGGCTCCGGTTACACAACTGGTCGGGCTCCGGTTAAATAACTGGTCGGGCTCCGGGGGTGTCATTTGGGCTTCGAGTTGTGCATGATCGGGCTTCGGTTCATGCATGGTTGTGCTTCAGATGTTGTTTGTTCGGTTCGTTCATGCTAGGCTTGCGGTTACACAACTGGTCGGGGTCCGGTTACACAACTGGTCGGGCTCCGGTTACACAACTGGTCGGGCTCCGGTTAAATAACTGGTCGGGCTCCGGGGGTGTCACTTGGGCTTCGGGTTGTGCATGGTCGGGCTTCGGTTCGTGCATGGTTGTGCTTCAGAGGTTGTTTGTTCGGTTCGTTCATGCTAGGCTTGCGGTTACACAACTGGTCGGGGTCCGGTTACACAACTGGTCGGGCTCCGGTTACACAACTGGTCGGGCTCCGGTTAAATAACTGGTCGGGCTCCGGGGGTGTCACTTGAGCTTCGGGTTGTGCATGGTCGGGCTTCGGTTCGTGCATGGTTGTGCTTCAGAGGTTGTTTGTTTGTTCGTTCATGCTAGGCTTGCGGTTACACATCTGGTCGGGGTCCGGTTACACAACTGGTCGGGCTTGCGGTTACACAACTGGTCGGGCTCCGGTTACATAACTGGTCAGGCTCCAGGGGTGTCATTTGGGCTTCGGGTTGTGCATGGTCGGGCTTCGGTTCATGCATGGTTGTGCTCCATAGGTTGTTTGTTCGGTTCATTCATGCTAGGCTTTCGGTTACACAGCTGGTTAGGGGTTCGGTTACACAACTGGTCGGGCTCCGGTTACACAACTGGTCGGGCTCCGGTTACATAACTGGTCGGGCTCCGGGTGTGTCACTCTGGCTTCGGGTTGTGCATGGTCGGGCTTCGGTTCGTGCATGGTTGTGCTTCAGAGGTTGTTTGGTTCGGTTCATGCTAGGCTTGCGGTTACACAACTGGTCGGGGTCCGGTTACACAACTGGTCGGGCTCCGGTTACACAACTGGTCGGGCTCCGGTTACATAACTGGTCGGGCTCCGGGTGTGTCACTTGGGCTTCGGGTTGTGCATGGTCGGGCTTCGGTTCAACTGGGTTTTTTGTTCGGTTCGTTCATGCTAGGCTTGCGGTTACACAACTGGTCGGGGTCTGATTACACAACTGGTCGGGCTCCGGTTACACAACTGGTCGGGCTCCGGTTAAATAACTGGTCGGGCTCCGGGGGTGTCACTCGGGCTTCGGGTTGTGCATGGTCGGGCTTTGGTTAGTGCATGGTTGTGCTTCCAAGGTTGTTTGTTCGGTTCGTTCATGCTAGGCTTGCGGTTACACAACTGGTCGGGGTCTGGTTACACAACTGGTCGGGCTCTGGTTACACAACTGGTCGGGCTCCGGTTAAATAACTGGTCGGGCTCCGGGGGTGTCACTCGGGCTTCGGGTTGTGCATGGTCAGGCTTCGGTTCGTGCATGGTTGTGCTTCAGATGTTGTTTGTTCGGTTCGTTCATGCTTTTTACACAACTGGTCGGGGTTTGGTTACACAACTGGTCGGGCTTCGGTTACACAACTGGTCGGGCTCCGGTTACACAACTGGTCGGGGTCCTCACAACTGGGGTGGACTTGGGCTTCGGGTTGTGCATGGTCGGGCTTCGGTTCGTGCATGGTTGTGCTCAGAGGTTGTTTGTTCGGTTGCGTTGTTTGTTTAGGCACAACTTAGGCTTGGTTACACAACTGGTCGGGGTCTGGTTACACAACTGGTCGGGCTCTGGTTACACAACTGGTCGGGCTCCGGTTAAATAACTGGTCGGGCTCCGGGGGTGTCACTTGGGCTTCGGGTTGTGCATGGTCGGGCTTCGGTTCATGCATGGTTGTGCTTCAGAGGTTGTTTGTTCTGTTCGTTCATGCTAGGCTTGCGGTTACACAACTGGTCGGGGTCTGGTTACACAACTGGTCGGGGTCCGGTTACACAACTGGTCGGGCTCCGGTTAAATAACTGGTCGGGCTCCGGTTCACTTGGGCTTCGGGTTGTGCATGGTTGGGCTTCGGTTCATGCATGGTTGTGCTTCAGGGTTTTGTTCAGTTTGTTCCTAGGTTGCAGTTACACAACTGGTTGGGGTCTGGTTACACAACTGGTCGGGCTCCGGTTACACAACTGGTCGGGATTCGGTTAAATAACTGGTCGGGCTCCGGGGGTGTCACTTGGGCTTCGGGTTGTGCATGGTCGGGCTTCGGTTCGTGCATGGTTGTGCTTCAGAGGTTGTTTGTTTTTAATTGTTTGCTTGGTTCGTTCATGCTAGGCTTGCGGTTACACAACTAGTCGGGGTCTGGTTACACAACTGGTCGGGCTTCGGTTACACAACTGGTCGGGCTCCGGTTACATAACTGGTCGGGCTCCGGGGGTGTCACTCTGGCTTCGGGTTGTGCATGGTCAACTTCGGTTCGTGCATGGTTGTGCTTCAGAACTTTGTTTTGAATTCTTCGTTCATGCTAGGCTTGCGGTTACACAACTGGTCGGGGTCTGGTTACACAACTGGTCGGGCTCTGGTTACACAACTGGTCGGGCTCCGGTTAAATAACTGGTCGGGCTCCGGGGGTGTCATAGATCGGGCTTCGGGTTGTGCATGGTTGGGCTTCGGTTCACAACTGCATGGTTGTGCTTCAGATTTTGTTCTGTTTGAATGGTTTCTTTGGGTTTCCGGTTACATAACTGGTCGGGCTCCGGTTACACAACTGGTCGGGCTCCGGTTACACAACTGGTCGGGCTCCGGGGGTGTCACTAGGGCTTCGGGTTGTGCATGGTCGGGCTTCGGTTCGTGCATGGTTGTGCTGCAGAGGTTTTGTTTGGTTCGTTCAAGCTAGGCTTGCAGTTACAAAACTGGTTGGGGTGCGGTTACACAACTGGTGAGGCTTCGGGGTGCACAAATAACTACCGCTCGCTGGTTGAATAGGGGATGCTTCATGAACTATCACTTTTAGCGGCAAAAAAGCAATGAAGTGTGCAACTATGGTCTAGTTGCAAACATTGCAAATAAAGCAGTGGATTGTTGCAGTTGTATTGGTTGCACCATCTTGAGTCTGTTCGTTCTGTAATAATAGACAAAGCCGTCGCTGATAGATTAGCAGAACTATTCGCATACTTTGCGTCATTATATAATGGAATGTGAAAAAATCGCGGAATTTAGAGATAACACCATCAATAAGTGCCCAAGAAATGTATAAGTACTTCATTCATAATGGTGTGCTGCCCGAAATCTTAATGAAGTAGTTGGGCGAATCAAATTCAAGTTCAATTTCAAAAAAAGTGTGCAACAAGACTAGTAACTGTGCGACTCATATCAGACTCATCAATTTGCGACTCATCAGATGTAAAGTGCCTTGTATAGTGACTGGTGACTGTTGAGAGCCTCTTGTTGAATCACTTGTGACACAAAAGATTATTGATGTGTATTTGTGTGGGTGATTAAATATGTATGTATGTCTATATACGTATATATGTACATGTATGTATGAGAATGTGTACATGTATATATAACATTAATAATTTTGTAACTAGCGTCAAAATTGTTATTTGCTTAGCTAAACGAACTAGAGGGTTCAGTTCCTGAACCGATTATGTGCCTCTGTAATCCTTTACACCACCGCCCAGGGGATGGGTATGGGGTGCATAATAAAGAATGAAATTGAAATTGAACCCAGGACATATGCAACTGAAAACTCACACCCCAGAAGTGACTCGAACCCATACTCCCAGAAGCAACGCAACTGGTATGTACAAGACGCCTTAATCCACTTGACCATCACGACCGGACATAATGAGGTGATAGCCGAGGCTATATGAACCACCCCACCGCCGGCACTCGGATAGTTATCTTGGGCATAGCATTTTACCAAATCACCTCATTCTTTGGGGCACACGTGAGGAACACAAATGCGAACAAGCCTGAATGGTCCCCAGGACATATGCAACATATGTCCTGGGGACCACATTATATATATATATATATATATATATATATATATATATATATATATATATATATATATGTGTGTGCGTGCTGAAATAATATTAATAAAACAATTAACATCGTGTAGTGTACTCTATATATCAAAATATACTACTTTGAAATCCGTATATGTCACTAAAAAAACAATTGGGCTACTCTTCGCTACTTTGCTACCGTCAGGTCGCTACTTTACGCAATTTTGAGGTGGCAACCCTGGGTGTGTGGCGGCTGTGAGGGGACAAGGCTGTGTGAAAGTGAGGGCGGCTGTATGGCGGCGGCTGCTGTAGGGGTGAGCACGGCACCATGGACCTTAAGGACATTATCATCAGCGGTATCTCCGTCGTCGCCTCCGTCTGCCTCGTTGTCATCTTCGTGGCCTTCGGTGGGTTCATAAGTGACGCCACTATTGAGCTTGACCTTGTTGGGTTTCGGGAACCCGACTTGAGGGACAGAAATTCCAAGTGGTTTGTTAATGTTGTTGTGTCAGGGGCCTGGACACTGGGTTGTGCCAGGGGCCCCGAACACTGGGTTGAGGGGTTGTGCCAGGGGCCCCGGGCACCAGGTCGAGGGGTTGTGCCAGTGGCCCCGGGTCGAGGGGCTGTGTCAGGGGCCCCGGGTCGAGGGGCTGTGTCAGGGGCCCCGGGTCGAGGGGCTGTGCCAGGGGCCCCGGGTCGAGGGGTTGTGCCAGGGGCCCTGAACACTGGGTCAAGGGACTGTGCCAGGGGCCCTGGATCGAGGGGCTGTGCCAGGGGGTCTGGGCACCATCCCATCTGTGTGGTGTGCGTGATCTACAGGCTATCTGGGTGGTCATAAATATATATTTTGAATCCTTTACTGTTTTTATGATAGTACTGTATACTTATCCACACAAACTTTAAAATGTTAACAACAAAGAAATTGCTTAGACTGATTAAATGTAATCTACAGTATTTTATTTAATAATTTGATAGTACTATATCCAGCAATCAAATTTTTTACTGTTCTATATTATACATTAATACAGTACTGTGTTTTTTCAGGTTGGTATGTTGTGTGGTGGCTTTTCCTATCGAGATTCAAGTTTATTCGTGAAATTCTAGGAAATCACCAGAATGGAAGCCCCTCATTAGAGGAACTGAGACAAGCTCGGCTTCGCTCGTCTCGGAAAACACGACGGGACTGACACCTTGTGTTCTTCTTTATCATGTAATGATTTGAAAGCTCTCTGAGTAAGTTAATTTGTTTTAACATGCAGCAACACCAATGAGTTTTTGGAGTACTGCAGTAGTAGATTTCTCACTTTAAAGTCACTATAATTTTCATGGAAACTTCAGGTATTCTAATGTGCCAGGGGCTTGATCCTTACCAAGTGGTTTTGATAATTTATATATAAACATGGCAAATTAAAGTAATTTTCCCCTTTCCTCCTGTTAATTGTTGCCTAATAATATTGATATCACACAGTAATGTACTTGTGCAAGTTAAGTAATGTATTAGTGTATTAGTGTTCAAAATATTTTAGAATTTGGAACATTTTAATTAAACTGTGTTAATAATATTTCCTTAACTGTTTGAAATAGGTCATGGTTTGTTGCACATATTGAGTTACATTTATCTTCTGTTGGCTTGAGAGAAGTAGTGGCAATGTATATATAGCAATACTTTTATCGCTATTTTACTAGACAAAAAGATAGTTTTTTCATTACTGACATACAGTATTTGATCACTGCAATGTGCCGTATTATAATGACAGCCCTGTGGTGCGCCTAAAAAAATCTTTAACATTTTTATTCTTTTATGCGTTAAAATGAATAACGAATCTCTGATCATGGGAACTTAAAAAATAAAAAAATTATTCTGTGAGACACTTTCGCTGTGATGGAACAGAAGTTTACCACTTTATGGGTGCCGAGTGATTAGGCACTTGGAAACGCTTGCCCAAGCGACCTCGTAGGGCAGCAGCTACTGCAAATATAATGTTTCATAATTATTTATATCTCTAGTTGTTGTTTTTTTGCTGTAATATTAGTCGCATTTGTGATTTGAAAAATTTATATAATCAAATGTCCCATAGCGTAGTAGTTAGTCACTCGCCTGGCGTTTCGCGAGCACTTTGGCCTGGGTTCGTATCCTGACTGGAGAGGATTGACTGGGCACCAATCCTTAATTGTAGGACGCTAAGCCCCGAAATCATCTCAAGATAACACAATATACATATGTTATTCTGTATATAATATCAACATTTGTATGCACCATAACAAACTAATAAGCAGTTCTGGTGGGTATGGTGATGAAATCAACACAGCATGGAGCCATATGATAAGTGCAGATGACACTAGCAAACATATGATGCAAAAAAATGCCTTTAATATTCTACACATTTCACTATGACTATTCACAGAACAGCAGTTATCACATTCTTTTCACAAAAATCCACATATGAATCTATTTCTATTAAGCCATGTGCCTTGTATGGTCTTTGGTCATGTGTTGTGGCCAGTAGTTTTCTTTGTTGTGATACCTGCAGTGCTTCCTCCTCCCTGGTGACTCCCTTTCTTTTCCTTAGGTAGCTTCAGGGAATCCCAAGGGGCTTTTCCAGAAAACCAGCATTGAATGTAATGAAATGCTAGTTTCTGGGCGAGTATCAGTGACTCCCTGACACCCTCCCTTTTCCAGGAAGTAAGGGGTGGTCTTTCCATCATAGAACTGAGTGGAGCAGCCGGCTGACCCTGTCTGCCTCTTTCCTCCCCCAGTGTAAATAATAATGTTACATCAATGTGAATATATCTAAACTTTTAGATTGTTTACATTGTTGGGAGTTCTTTTGGCAAGTTTCAGGCATCGATATTTTCTTATAATCAGTGGTCTGTTTTACCTTGCTGACTGTGGTTGCTTCCCCAGTGGTGGCAGACATGATTAAAATTCAGATAATTTCATCATAGTGCCACTGTTTTATGCCCCTCTTAAAAGTGGCAAAGTTCTGGCTCGTGGTCCCTGGTAGGCCTAAAAGAACTCCACGACTGAGGGGCACCTAGTTGTTTGGCACTGTATCAGCATTGTACCTTCAGGGAGCCACGGGGGCTCACCAAGCAATTGGTATTTTATTACATTTAATGTTGTTTTTTTGCTTATTGGGCTGTTTAACATGCTGATATTTAAGTACTGTATGCCCATGATGTGGTTCACAAATCTGCTTGCCTAATTGCCAGTTATGCTTTGTAGGCCTCCTTGTCTATTGATTTCAAATTAGTCAGTGAGTACCAACAATTATGTTTCTTCATCTACTCTTACTATAATTCTCTCATGATCATTATAAGACCCCTGTGTTTGTTTTCTAGCTCTTTCTTTGTCCATTTATAATTTGCAAATGGACTGTAGGCAGAAATGGTTATCAGTTTTGTCGGTCTGCTTTGAAGTAGGAAGTGATTCTCAACTGAGAGAAATTGTGCCTCACATGACTACAATATAATACTGGAGCACCAAGCTCAGATTTTGTTCCAGTACGTTTAAGTAGGAGGTCAAGAATTCATCAGCTGCAACTGCACATGCTGGCAGAAGAGGACTATGGCAGTGGTGGGTGGGTGGTAGTATCACTATACAGTGCATGCCAGGTCTCCTTGCTCACATTCTGGCTGATGTCATCTCTTACAAATAGGTAGCTCTGTGCATGGCAGGTAGGTAGCTAGTTCTTTAATGGCATTATAACATCAGTGGCTATGTTGTACATGTCTTCTATCAGTATCAAAGAAGGCCTTTTGATCTTTGAGATGCTACCCATAATGATGCTGGGAAGTATATAGACTGATTTGTGAAGTCAATAATTTCATCATTTACGTTCCTATCACTGTTAATTTGACGTGTCGACTTGCTTGTTCCTCTGAATGCACCAGGTTTAGAACTCTGATCTCTGCCAGTTATTAAGACTTTGATAAGTCCTGGTCACATGATGTATGTAACTGTCCAGGCAGTTAACTACAGGGAACCACTCTGGGACCCACCAGAAAGAGGGGCTTCATTTGTTGCTTTTGTTAAGTGTTGGACAGAATACATATTTTTAAGACTGGACTGCTACATTAAATAATAATGTTTGCATTATGTTGCATGCTTGGTACGGGACTGAGGATAACGGCATCAGTGGGATGGATTTGGAAAAAAATAATAAACATACTGTGGCTATAAAAAAGTATACTGTATAATTTTTTTATAATAAAGCTAACATTTATTTAATATAAATTTTGCTCGTGAATGTATTTTTACGGGTGCTGCATGATATTAAGACATGGTTCATCTCTTCTAGGTCTGGTGCTGATTTTGATGACTGAGAAATGGCAGATGAATGGGAACTTCTAGTCTGAAGAAAACCTCTTATTCCATTATACTGTGTTATTGTTACTTTTTTTTTTTTTTTTTTTTTTTTTTTTTACAAGTCTGTGTTGTATCTCAGGAACACAGTTGTAATAATTTGATCAGTCTGTTTCTGAAAGCATCTATATATTTAAAGTGTTTTTTCCCACTTTTACATATGCAGCATCTCTCAATATGTATACTGTACTGTATTTATTAACCCATTTCTTTAAGCTGTTAATATGGAGTTTTTTAGGTTGTCTTTAAGTTTGTGTATTATTGATAATAATGCAATTGTAAAGTTAGTTCTAATTTAAAATTGTTAATATCTATATACTGTACTGTACTTGTATATAATTTCTCAAATTTGTTGTTTTCTCAAAATGGTCACACATAATGATCCATGTAATTTTCAGAATACATTTAATAGTAGTGGTTGAAGCTCCCAAGTTCTACGAGGGTGCATAGCTCGGTATGGCAACTCATTTATTATTTGAGGCTGTGGATAAATTGTTAATTTATTTTTGTTTATTGCTTATTTAATGTGTATAAATATTTCTAGCCAATTATTCATTTTAATGTAGAGATGAACGAGTACAACTTAGTGTGCGAGTATTTTGTGAGTTGAGTGCAGCGTAGTATGCAACGAGGCGTGCATTCCCCCGTGATATTTCAGTCACATTACTGATATAGATATAGTATTTTCTTGGGTGCCAGTATGGAAGAATCTTTGATTATATAGACCTAGAAAAAAAATCATTTGTATATAGCATTTGACATCAACAATGAACAATGAAATAATTATTATGCATTAATTTATGATTGGGATGCAATACATGTGAAGCCAATATTTTTCTACATTTTCAAATAAACTTGGTACATGTGATTTGTTTGTGTAGCATTGTGAATGAAGTGCAAACTGTGTGATATGAAGTTGTATTGAATTTGTCTACAGTCCCTGGTACACTTTGTTAAAGTGACCACCATACTTATTGATGAAAAGAATTGTCTCCCTGTTTGATATATTTTCTGTACAGATACATTTGTCTTGAATACCTTGGTAATTGTTGTGAATAAATTTTTCTTTAATAAAAAAGGAAAATAAAAAATACATTAATACCTCTTTAAATATTAAGAAGTTAATATCGTCACAATCAACTTGATAATGGTCCAGGACGGACCGAAACGTCGTCTCTTCACTTACTAGCGTGTGGTTTGGTCAACAAGAAGTTAATACTGTATTAGGGCTCATTAGTCTTGCTTTTCAACTGTCCCCCACGGTCACTTTTCCCTCGATAGAATTCTTGGTGAATCGGATACTTTTGATATCATTCGCCTTATGCGTTTCTGTTCTCTTATTGGCACCCTCAGTGATATTTAGTGCCCTCTGATTATTCTGCACATTTGATGGTGCTACTATCCCGGCTTGGTGTCTTCTTTGATAATTACTTACTTACCCAGACAAGACAACCAGACAAGGCTGCTGGAAGACAGGAGAGCTCAGGGAGACATGACCATTACCTACAAAATTCTCAGAGGAATTGACACTATAGATAAAGGTAAACTGTTTAACACGGGTGGTACGTGAACAAGGGAGGACAGGTGGAAACAGAGTACCCAAATGAGCCACAGGGACATCAGAAAGAACTTTTTCAGTGTCATAGTAGTTAACAGATGGAATGCATTAGGCAGTGATGTGGTGAAGGCAGACTCCATACAGTTTCAAATGCAGATATGTAGAGTCCAGTAGGCTTAGGAATCTGTACACCAGTTGATTGACAGTTGAGAGGTGGGACCAATGAGCCAGAGCTCAATCTCCGCAAGCACAACTAGGCGAGTACTTAGACTCGACAAAAGAGCGATGGTGTCTCTTCTAGCAGGTCAGCATTCATTCCTGACTAAGTGGGTGGGCACTATTCCTTTCCTCCATCCTATCCCAAATCATCATCCTCCTATCCCTTCCAAGTGCTATATAGTCATATTGGCTTAACATGCTTTGATAATTACCAAATTACCAAGATAAGCTAATAAAGTTTGCATTTATCAACCTGGTGAAGTCAAAAAGTTTAATCTTGTAAAGAAAATGGTGAAACAAGGACAGTTGTCTTGGTTTTTATGGTACGTAATTCATGAATTTTCCCATGATAAATGCATTGTTGCCATGTTATTGCTGCATTTCTTTTTTAACACTCGTGGTCTGATGATGCTCTTCATCCTGGATTTTCTGAAAATCTTTACCAATTTTATTTGCTCCTGCTTGATAAAACTTGAAATATATGAGCAGAATGTGGGAAGAGCTTATCAGGAGCTGTAATGTAGATGTTTTTGCTAAATAAGGAGGTCTAGACTTTTGGGGAACACTGACAAGACAGCGAACACACATGATAATGTATGGTACTGTATATTCGATAAAGGTTAGTTTGGAGTATGGTATTGGGACACTCAGAGTGTATGGTGAAGCTGGAGGCTGTTTAATTATTGAGCAGGCTGGTCAGAGGAGTGTTTACATGCATAACACTTAACCTGGATGGACTGTGGTGGGACATTGTTGGTCAGTTTGGTTTTGTATACCCTCTACAAGCAAGGCAGAAACCAACGCTGCTTGCTGATAGGTCGAGGAGAAACAACTTGGTCCTGGTAAGCATGCTGATGTGGTATAGAGCATGTATGTATTGTGAATATAGGAGTGGTAGTTGCAGATGTTTGTTATATCTGTTACAGAATCAATTAGAGATCACCTTGGCTAACTACTCGATTGCTCCAAACAGTAATTGCTCTTCTTGTTACAGTAATATTTTCTCATCACTTTACAAATTACTTTTTTATTTATTTATTATATATACAAGAGTTCTTACATTCTTGTACAACTGCTAACACCCATAGCATTTCAGGTAAGTCCTCAATCCTAATATTCCCAGAATACGACCTCCCTAAATCCTTTAATAACCAGGTAAAAGGTTTGCTGTTGGGTAACCAGAGGCTACAGTTAAGGATTTGCAGACATTACCAGATGAAAATGTATAAAAGTAATGTTTGTTTTCTTTTGCAAGTACAGTATATCCATAGATTTTTATGATTAATGAGAAGTGAAATGTTCATAAGCTTTTGTATATTCACTGATACCACACAAATTATAATGCATACACCCTTTTTTTTAGTCATCTCTACTCGGGCACATTCACTGTCGCTGAGTGGGGCCCCAATAGGACTGGATTGTTTAGTGAAGTGTATCATAAAAGAATATGATGAAAAGTATTATTGTATTTTGATCATACATTTAATTTCTTCAACATCATCATTTATCCATCTTCTGATGTGTGGTTTGGTCATCATATCTTCAGCCACGTTATTGTGACTCATTTTGCGTAAACAGTCATAAAATTACATGATCACTGGAACAGCAAAAATTGCAACAGTACATATTGTACAGAATAAATGGAAGTAATACATTTGTTTTATTAAATTTTTACATGGCAGATAACAGCAATAGTACAGGTTCAGTAATTTAATGTTCAACAACATAAAAAATAGGTTGTCATTTAGGATGTAAGATAGGTTACATAGTTTATCAGGTGGTTCATAGTTCCTATTTTAACTGGTTGAGAGGAGGACGGTCCTTAAAATGATTATTGAAGTCCTTTTCATATTTTGAATCCTTGATTTGCAGATCATTTCTGCTATGGTTAAGGCATTCTTGGAATATCAAACAGATATTGGTTTCTAGTAAGGTGCCCATAGGTTCTGTTATAGCTCTCTAGGAAGTGTTTGAGGTTAGGATTAGCAATACAGTTTAGTATTTTATATATGTTGAGGGAATGTATAATGCTTAATATGTAATATTCAAGGATTTAATTAAGTAAGGGGGTCAGGTGTTGTCTGGGGCTTGAGTTTCTTATTGTTCTAATTGCTGTTTTGTGTTGATTAATTAGGGTTTCATGAATAATTTTGGATAGTAGAACCCCAAACACAGATACGATATATGAAATAAGGATAAATAAGAGAATAGTAAAGTGTTACTAGGGCAGAGTGAGGTATATAGTTGCCATTCTTTCTAAAATCGATTGTTTTAAATTTTTGTTTACTACATTTAGTACATGGCACTTGAAATTCAACTTATCAACAAGAAAACCAAGAAATTTACCTTCTACTTTATTGCTAATTTGGATATCATTAATTCTTAGGTTAATTTGCTCAGTGGGTTTATTACCAAACAAAATATAGTGTGTTTTATCAATGTTAAGGGTGAGTTTGTTAACAGTTAGCCAAAGGTGGACTCCATTATTCTTTATTTCGGTATTAACCGTATATAAGGTTAGGACTGGAGAAATTAAGGTTGTGTCTTCAGCAAATACAATTGGTTTGAAATACAAATATTGTCACAAAAAATTAGACGTTATAGCTAACCCATATCTCTAAGTTACCCTTTACAACTAACGACAGAAAACGTAAGTGTTTCAACACTGGGAGAGAAGCGACCATCTCGACACAATGTTGCCAGATTGGGCTACAAATAGCGAATTGGGCTACTTTTGAGAGCCCCGCGCTCCCAAATTTTTAATTTCGCTACGTGCTACTTTTTGGGCTAATTTAAAAGCAAGATGTGCTAATTTGGGGTATTAATGTTAAGAATGTACGATTGCGAGTTGCATGAAAGTAACTAAGCTATAAATAATTGTAATTAATACTAAATAATATTAAATAAATAAATAAATAAATAAATATGTTTATTCAGGTAAGGTACATACATACAAGTGATGTTACATTAATGGATTGATATATAGATAGAGCTAGTACATACAATGCCTAAAGCCACTATTACGCAATGCGTTTCGGGCAAGAAAAACATTAATATCTAGAACTTAATACTAATTGAGCATAAAGAATAAAAAGTGTTGAAAACAAATACAAATAAAGATAAAAAAAAGGGGGAACATGACTGAAAAAGCAGCACAAATACAATAGGTTGACAAACAGTGTTGATTACAAAAAAAATAATAATAATAAAATAAAATAACAGACATGGGTTGACAATAAAGGAGTGAGGTGGGTTACAGGGAATTTATTAGGTAGTGTTTAGTTTTTATCTTAAACTGGTTGAGAGAGGTACAGTCTTTAACATGGTTGGGAAGGTCATTCCACATTCTGGGTCCCTTGATTTGTAGAGCATTTCTAGTTTGATTAAGTCGTACTCTAGGAATATCAAAACTGTATTTATTCCTGGTGTGGTGCTCATGGGTTCTGTTACAACCTTCAATGAAGCTTTTGAGGTCAGGATTGGCATTACAGTTCAGCGTTTTATATATGTATAATACACAAGAGAGAATGTGCAGTGACTTAATATCTAACATATTCAGAGATTTGAGTAAGTCGACATATATATTATTTAATACTAAATAATATTATTAATAAATTAGTCCCAATTCAATGCAGAGTTTTCTTCCAAGCACAGAAACTTGTAAATATAAATACAAGATAATAGATCGATAAATAAATAGACAACTTTCAAATATTGCACCAAGTAATGGTGAGAGGAAAAAACTAGACAGTATACATTACATTTGAAATTAATAATGGATGCGAATGGTAATAAATTGGTGTATGTATACCAGACAAAGTCCATTTAATGACAGAATTTAGCCATTTTGTGTAAAAACTTTTATATCTCATATTATTAATTATAACAGTAATCGAAAAAAAGTCATAGTATGTATATACAAAAGATGAAACAGAGAGCCATGAGCTAGAGCGATATGTGCTGAGTCCATAAGGAGGCGGAGCTTCCTGAGATACCTTCCTGTGATTACCAACACTCTTTTATGAATAAAATTTTAACTAAGAAATAGGTCCTTGTGCACAACAACAAGGTTGTTGTGAAAAAGAACAACAGTTTCTGTTTTGCACCTGACAGAAATTTCCATCTAACTGAATAATTTACTCGAATAAGAGGGCAGAGCAGTGTATCATTATTTGTGACAAGGCAACTCCCAATAATAACGTCTCAAGTTAGGTAGCCAGCCCATTTTTATATAACATCTGTTATATCCTGCAATATTTAATTATCACTTTGTTAACACTTTAAATAATTAACACTTCACTTTTTTGGGTTAAACTTTCACTTTATTGGAGTTAAAATTAACGTAGATATATGACCGAACCTAACCAACTCTACCTAACCTAGCCTAACCTATCTCTATAGGTTAGGTTAGGTTAGGTAGCCGAAAAAGTTAGGTTAGGTTAGGTAGCCGAAAAAGTTAGGTTAGGTTAGGTTAGGTAGGTTAGGTAGTCGAAAAACAATTAATTCATGAAAACTTGGCTTAATAGGCAAATTGGGCCTTGCATAGTAGGCTGAGAAGTGAGTTCTGGCTACTAGGTACGACATATATATATATATATATATATATATATATATATATATATATATATATATATATATATATATATATATATATATATATATATATATATATATATATATATATATATATATATATATATATATATATATATATATATATATATATATATATATATATATATATATATATATGTCGTACCTAGTAGCCAGAACTCACTTCTCAGCCTACTATTCAAGGCCCGATTTGCCTAATAAGCCAAGTTTTCCTGAATTAATATATTTACTATAATTTTTTTCTTATGAAATGATAAAGCAACCCTTTTCTCTATGTATGAGGTCAATTTTTTTTATTGGAGTTAAAATTAATGTAGATATATGACCGAACCTAACCAACCCTACCTAACCTAACCTAACCTATATTTATAGGTAAGGTTAGGTTAGGTAGCCAAAAAAAGCTAGGTTAGGTTAGGTTAGGTAGGTTAGGTAGACGAAAAAACATTAATTCATGAAAACTTGGCTTATTAGGCAAATCGGGCCTTGAATAGTAGGCTGAGAAGTGCGTTCTGGCTATTAGGTACGACATATATATATATATATATATATATATATATATATATATATATATATATATATATATATATATATATATATATATATATGTGTGTGTGTGTGTGTGTGTGTGTGTGTGTGTGTGTATGTGCATAAATAATATTAATAAAACAATTAACATCGTGTAGTGTACTCTACATATCAAAATATATTACTTTCAAATCCATATCATTGACTTAAAACAATTGGGCTACTCTTATTACAACTTCGCTACTTTTAGACCGTCAGCTCGCTACTTTCAGCAATCTAGATCTGGCCACCCTGACCCTGGAGCCTCGACAACAACACCAGCCACCACACCTGCCTCCCGTCCTGGGCTCCTCTTCACCTCAGTAATATACACTTATGTGCAGTCGTCCCTAAATCAATCACGTTAAAAAGACAAGTTACAGCCCCTGTGCCAGGTAAATCCTCAACGGGCTCACCATAGCCCGTGCTACTTGGAACTTTTTGTTCCAGGTAACGAATCTTAAACAACAACAACCCTAAATCAACCTTCACAGATCTCCAGTATCAGCTCTTGATACTGGTAATGGCTCAAAAGGGCCACCACTTACGGGCTATTCATGCCCGTGCCACTTTTTGGGTGGCTTAATCTTCATCTTCCTAAATCAACACAACACTTATGTGCATGCTTAAAACAGTAATTGGAGCCTGTTTTATTATATTGAGGCACCACTTAGTATAATTGTGTTAATATGCCATTTACCTCAATGATAACGAGGTAAAGGGCTCAAACTAATGGGTTCGAGTTAGTTTTGAGTGAATCAATTAATTTTTAATTTTGCCCCGAGGGGCGAGTTTATTGGGCAGCGCCACTCATCCTGTGACTGGACACACCGCCATAGCAGCATGTACAACACTCCCCAATAGGAAGGAAACCCGCTGGGTTGTTCATCCTGTCACTTGTACCCAGACACAGCTGGGACTTGCTTAACTGTCTCAAGTGAACAGCTCATCAAACAAGAAGATTAACATTTGTCAACCCTTAAAATCTTACGTTATCTTGCGGGTGCAAAATGGGGGAATCTTTTAGGAACAGTATTTATATTTGACTGTTTTGTTTGAAGAGTTGTTTGTCAGTTAAGATATTTAATTTAAATTTTCTGTGAACCTTGCATATTGTAAAGCCTTATAGGTTGTTATTTGCTTCTTATTCCTTTGTGCAGGGACCAGGTTCTGACTAGTCCCTGGTAGGCCAAACAACTGTGATGGATGTGACAAAATAGTTTTTATTTATTTATTTATATACAAGAACATACATTGGGTTTGTCAGAGTACAAAACATTAGTGGTCTTACATTCTTGGAAAGCCACTAACATGCATAGCATTTCGGGGCAGCGTTTGAGTTAGGAGCAATCTCGCTGGGATGGCTTTAGGGAGCCACCTGAATTTGTATTACAAATTATATATTTTAATTTTCCTCAGACTGCTTATCTAGTACAAGAAGACAAGAAGCACTCATCATGAAGGTGACGGAGGTAAGGCATGCCATGCATCTTGGCAACATGTTCAAGGCCTTGTGGCTGGTGCAGGGGAAGAAGCGGATTATTGACACGGGAGCCGAGGCTGTTCTAGCTGCCAAAGGAGTGTCCGTTGTAGATCCCCAAAAGATCCTTTCACCTGCATATCCATGTGTGTAAGTAATAAACAACTTTCATTTACAGAATCCTCTTTTTGCAGACACGGTTTTCATTTACCTGTATTTAGGCATTCATTGAATCATAAAGAAGTGATTGATTTGATTATACATGTACAGTACTTGATCATGAGATACTATGTATTATAGCTCGCCCTGAAGTAAACATCACTATTTGGTTACCAGCTGAGAAAAGTCAAAGTGATTTCAATTCTATTATTTTCTTGACATTGTATTGCCACATTTCATAATGTCACCGACATGAACGGCAACATCTTTCATGTGATCGTTCACCTGGTAGTATTCTTTAGTTAAAATATTTTGAATGTACCCTAAGCAGTATTGATTTTAGTGTACATAAAATTGTGTAAATAAGATTACAAATGTTCTCACCTTAAACACACAGTTTTAGCATAAATGGAGTGAAGTTCAAGTGGAAAACTGTTGCAATTGGAGTGTCCTAGAGCTCTGTCCTGCGACCTCTGTTGTTTACTGTTCATATAAATGAACATATGCATCATAAACATTATGAGGCCCATTGAAAGATTGCATTAACATCCAATTGGAGATTTGCTGTGTTCTTTATTGTGGGCTCTCACAAAACTTATTTTTAGCTTCATCTTGCCACTATTACGTCCTAATTAGATCAAACTGTTCCGCTTTGGTTACTACTATAGATAAGACAAATTAATTTGAGGTTAAAAGAGAAAATTGACGAAGTTAATCCCCCTGTTGAAGAGAGATTCAGAATGCTTAATTTACCTTCTTTTGAAAGGCAAAAAGGAAGCAGAAACATAGGGTTTAACAAGGGGAATATCTATATAGGGTGCTAAATATAGCAAAATAAAATTTAACATAAAACAATGAATATAAATTTGATAAATTTTGATTCAGAAAAGACCTAGGTAAACATAGGCTTTGAAACAGCATTGTAAATCTTTGGAACAAATTACCAGGTAACACAATAAATGTATGATTGCCGGATTGTTTCAAGAGAAGGTCAGAAATACTGTACAGTATATATTTTATAAATGGGCTTGGTTTGATTTAAATAGGAGCTACCTTGAATAAGGCCAATATACAGGGCCTTTATATATATAATCAGTATATACTGATACTTTACAGTATACAGCAACTAGGAGTCTGCTAGATCATATATTGATAGTACATCTTCAGAAAACATAATATGCAAACAATTAATTTGCAACATTTACTTGCAGAAAAGAAGTTGTTGAACTACCACCAGAACCTTGCTGTTTGCCTGACTGGAAGTTAGAGGTGAAAAGCAAGCCATGCTATGTAATTACCAAACTTTTTGCCCCTATGGTGGGTATGTCTCAAGTCCAGCTGATCACAAATACTGTTGTACATTCATCCTTGCCAAAGACTGTACTAGATTGTGCCACTAAGAATACAGAGGAGGAAGATGAGAAAGTGAAAGAGTAAGTGATCTTCCTTTCAGCTTTTTTTTGAGAGAGGGGTCTCCTTGGTAGTTCCCTTGATGCTTAAGCTGGGCACCAACCAAGCTTTGCATGTCACACGAGGCTCTGGTGAACTGCCAACACCTACCAGAGACCAGGACCAGTATCTGGCCCCCTCAAAGAGGTGAAGAGGGATCAGGGATCAGAGTTCACCATATAACTGAGAAACAAAACTCCCGGAGAGATGCTGCACTCCAAAACAAGCAACTGCTTATTTGGTGCACAGATTTATTTAGATTTTTGTATTAATACTTTGTTGCAATTCCTAAAGGTAATGCAGCATATGCAGTCCTGAAACATTTTATTAAAACTGAACTATACATCATTTATTGGTATTGTATCATAATTGTTTGGCACAAATGTCTTCCTTTACAGGGCCATTCTTCACGCACACTTACTGGATTCACATCAAGAAAAATTACCGAAGATATTAGATGTTGTTAACAGACCCGGGTGGAATGACAGGCGGGAGTATGGTATACCTATTAGAAGGAGGCAGTAAGTTTTATGTACATTTCTTCCAGATTTATTCTCTGAATTTTTTGTTATTAACAAGTATGTATATGAACCCTGTTAGAGATATAATCACCACTTAAATAAAAGAGGTTTCAGAATTACAAAAATCTCTTATAACAATGAGTGGGGCTATATAATTTCTGATGCATATTAAGACTTTTTAAAAACACTTGAATTAGATTTGCTAAATCAGATCATTATAATACAATTGACTTAACCAGAAGGTATGTTCCAAGATATGACTGAAGGAGGTTAGTGGAAAAGTGTTAACCATAAAACTGTCAAATATAGTAATATCAAATAGTCAAATTGGCTTTTTCCAAACAGCAAGACTGTGACTTATCAGCTGCTGGTGCTGCTGGACCAGCTGGTGCCTGGAGCAGCTGAGAAGCAGCTGGTAGAGGACACTCTAACATGTGTCTCTCTTAAACACACAGGTACATCTCTCATTATCTCTCTCATCTTCTCAGTAATTAAACCACTCTTAATGGGTTTAAAGCTCTTATTTTGTAATGTAAACTATACGACATTTGTTCACATAAAAACTATATAATATAGCAAGACAAAAGTGATGATTCTTCTCTAATGAAGCAAATTAAAAAAATGAGGATCATGTTACTTTTGACTCTTCCTCTCTCTACATGGTGGGTTAAGGCTAACTCCCACCTTAAATTACACTGAGGTGGTTTCTAGGATCAATGTTACAATGATAACCAGTCTCTGGCCAAGCCTCCTGGTTGATGGTCTGGTAAGCGACCAGGAGGCCGCAGCGCACAATCGTGCACGACTCTCAAGCTGGTTGATGAGGAATTCTTTAAAGGTGTTTAATCAAATTTCCTCTTGAATGTTGATAGAAGTTGGCTAGTTATGCCCCTTATATTTAATGTCAGTTGAGGTGTTGCAAAAAGTCTTGGGCCCCTTAATGTTTACAGAAATGTCTCGGGTACTTATTGCACATCTTTTTTTTTTATGTCTTGAGAAGAGTACGTGAAGCTGCCCTTTCAGGGTGATAAACTTAAATATATTTGATAAAATAGAAAAAATATATGGATAACGTTCTTCTTTTTCTTTAACAGGTAACCTGGTGCAGATGAATCATGAAGCAGCTTTCATCTTGTCATCACCAAAACCATTACCACAGTTAGCAGACAATGCAGAAATTAAGTCTTTAGAAGAGGAGGCATTGCCAGATATATATCCTCTTTCTCCTTTCATTAACTGCAGAGCAGTCAATCAATACTGTTTGAAGGATTCTTATGGTAAGGCTGGAAACTGTTTATCACCCAATATTGGCTAAAGGTATAATCATTTACAATAGTAGTTGTGCTCTGCAGGTAACATGTGAAAAAACGATTCATGTGAAAACCCATTTGTCAATGTGTTCATTGTATTTTCTACACAATTTTTTGATAGAGTAGCAGATGCCTGTAGTAAACACGTACCTACTCAGGAAACACACACACTGCCAGGGCCAGGTACTACCCAAGAAACACAAACTTACCTAGTTTTGTGTCTGTTTCCTTGGAAATTGTATATCTAGCAACAGATCTGGCTCCAGCTTCAACAAAATTCTTAGCTTTTATTATTATTATTCTCCTTGTGTCCCCCCCCCCCACCCTCATTTGTATATGCTGATCACTAGATCATTCACAAACATATTCTTCCTAATATGTTTATGTTGTAGTTCAGGTTGGTCATTGGCCTTGGATAATATGTCATTCTCATTCTGCTTCTCCACTTTTTATATAACTACACCCTGTACTACTACTCAAATGCCATTTGCCATTTGAGAGATGGTGACCTTTAGGTAAATTCAGATCGGGAGTTTCTTTTATAATGCTACAGGTTTAACATGTTTTTACCATTGCAGGTATTGCCAGTCGCCACCTTTATCCCCATACCATCTTCATCCATCAAAACCAGCCCCGAATGAAAGGTTCTGAAGACCATTTTGCTGGAATTTCCCTCCTCCATGCTTTCTCACATGCTGCTGCTTATGCAAAGCAAGTAGGAGAGGTAAGTTCATCTTGTTCACAGCCTCTTCACATGGAGGAAGAGGTTTTCTATAAATGTCGTTTTTATACTCACAGTACATGCCAGTAAAGAATATATTTTACTAGTCATGATTCACTCTTGGTTTTGCAACTGATAACCTTCAATTCATCCATTTGTAAGGAGTTTTAAAAAATATTTAAGTATTCTTACTATTTATCCCATAAGCAAGACAAACTCACTTCTCGCCTTTTAAAAAAATAAAAGTGACATAAGATTACCCTACTTTTTTTCCCTTGAAGTTATAATGGGTTGCACATGTATTAAACCTGTGATGATATACTTAATGAGTAAATTGTAAATGATAATTACTGTAGATTGCAGATGGTAACTTGGAGAAGCCAGTAGTAGTGCAAGTGGTGCACATGAACAAGCAGAACGTCCACATGGGTGTGTTGCAGCTCAATACACTCAACCTGACAGGACCAACTAAGAATATTTTCTGGACCCAATCGTGGGAAGCTTTCTTCAGTAGGTGCTGCTTCGAGGCAGCACAACCTCGGCTTGAAGACTATAATCCTCGTGTCTTCCAACTACTTAAAGGGCTGCATGCTCAGTGTTAATACCATGTCTTTTACTTGTGAAAGTTTCCTGTACATTTGAAATATATAACAACAATAGCATTTTGGGTATTCTACTTGTCCTGTTTAGTAAATATTATACTGATTTAGTAAGTTCCACAGTATTATTGTCAGCCACTGGGTAACTTGCTCGTAACCGTTTTTTTTTTTTTTTTTTTTTTTTTTTTTTTTTTTTTTTTTTTTTTGAGATATTTACAAGAGTTGTTACATTTTTGTACAGCCACTAGTACGCGTAGCGTTTCGGGCAGGTCCCTGGAATATGGTCCCCGCCGCAAAGAATCGTTGTTACAACCAAATACACATTTTACTGTTGCGTTAAACAGAGGCTACAGTTAAGGATTTGCGCCCAGTAAATCCTCCCCGGCCAGGATACGAACCCATGACATAGCGCTCGCGGAACGCCAGGCGAGTGTCTTACCACTACGCCAAGGAGACTGTTATAATGAAGGGGAGCCGGTCGGCCGAGCGGACAGCACGCTGGACTTGTGATCCTGTGGTCCTGGGTTCGATCCCAGGTGCCGGTGAGAAACAATGGGCAGAGTTTCTTTCACCCTATGCCCCTGTTACCTAGCAGTAAAATAGGTACCTGGGTGTTAGTCAGCTGTCACGGGCTGCTTCCTGGGGGTGGAGGCCTGGTCGAGGACCGGGCCGTGGGGACACTAAAGCCCCGAAGTCATCTCAAGATAACCTCAAGATACCTACAGTAAGCCAATTTTGGATACTTGGCTAAGATTCCCGGCTGCACATCATCATGAATGTAGTATTTATATATTTATTGGACACTATTGATGGTGTTATCTCCGAATTCCGCGATTTTTTCACATTCCATTATATAACGACGCAAAGTATGCGAATAGTTCTGCTGACAGAGTTTACATTTAGTCAAATCTACATCAACAGATGTTACAAACTAATCCCCAGTTCTCTGTTTTGTACATTCATCCATGTTTCGGTAAGTACAATAATATCTATTGTTTATGTGCAGACAAAAGCATTTAAATTTACAGTCTCCGTGGTGTAGTGGTAAGACACTCGCCTGGCGTTCCGCGAGCGCTATGTCATGGGTTCGTATCCTGGCCGGGGAGGATTTACTGGGCGCAATTCCTTAACTGTAGCCTCTGTTTAACGCAACAGTAAAATGTGTACTTGGATGAAAAAACGATTCTTCGCGGCAGGGGATCGTATTCCAGGGACCATAGGATTAAGGACTTGCCCGAAACGCTACGCGTACTAGTGGCTGTACAAGAATGTAACAACTCTTGTATATATCTCAAAAAAAAAAAAAATTGTTTATATTGTTTCTTAGACTACTCCTGTACTCACCTTATTGTGCTTGCGAGGGTTGAGCTTTGGCTCTTTGGTCCCGCCTCTCAACTGCCAATCAACTGGTGTGATTGTGCAATATTTCTTAAGTGTACTGCTTTTTTTTTTTTTTTTTTTTTTTTTTCAGGGATATTCCTGCGCGGGCCCTAAGCCTCTGGCTGGCCCACTAAGTGTTGCTTGTTTCTGTTTTACTTGGGCGGAGTATGAGTATTTATTACTCGTATGGTCAACTCATATTTTTAATGCCTCCTTTCCCCATTCTATATAACTATCAACTAACAGTTTAAACCCAAACAGACTCCTCCAACCATGAACACCAACGAGTTGGCAACATCAACTACCCCAGCTGGCCTAGATGAGCTGAAGTGATCTGGACGAGTCCATTATTGTCAACCAGACTGTATACTACAACACCAGCTAAGCCTAGCTAGAATTATTATTAAACTGCTCATGTAAATGTAGACTAACAGTAGAATATACCAATCGATTAATTTTAATTTGGTAAACCATGTAAATACCCCCCCCTCCAGGCTTGTGAAGGGAAACTACACAGTCCACTCTCTATAATTTAATAAATTATTGGTAAATTAAATATAAATACTTAAATACTTTAATAAATAAATAATAATTACATAAATCCTGCTAGCGAGATTTCCCCACATAAGTCTTTATGTTTTCCTTCTTAACCATAAAGGCCTTTCTCTCTACATGACACTACGATGGTCTAATACGAGAGAAACTACCGACTCCTCATGGCCTGAAAGCACTTGTATAAAAAGCTACGATTTATTTGCATTCGAAACCTATGTTTATGGGCAGCGCAAAACATCCACCAGACACACAGGCATGCTGGGTCGCAAGCACTGTGCGACACAGTGCTTGCCAGGATCAGGTTAGGTTGCTATAACTTGTGGCAGGTGGCTACAGGCGACGGATCTCCCAATCCTGAGCACTCTAGGTGCAAACTCTGAGCAGGAACTGGGACATTATCTCCCACACTACATCACCAAATGCCCAGTTATTAGACCCATCAGACTCGTTGGCATGAGGTACCTGGAGCTTTGCAATTACTTCATTCACTCTCGTGTTCTTGAGGATATCCTTATAATGCACCCCAAATTTGCCAGTGCAAGCTACTGATCACATGGCCGTGTATGACTAACCATCCTGTGAGACGAGACTTTAATATCATCTTAAAAATGAATTAAGTTTAATGTATCATATTATATTCTCATAAAGCATCCGAAACAAAAACGAGTGTAGACAACTGATCACATGACCCTGTGATTTTGTGTTGTTGCCGCCGGAGGCGGCTAGTTTATTGTGCACCCGATACTCATCCTGTGAGCGGTAGCGCAATAAGGTTATAGGAGATGTCGTTTATCTACTATTAGCGAAATATGGGTACAGTACAAGGATTTCAGGTATTTTATCCTTAGTAATAAGATGCTTTACCATTTCATACAAGGCCCTGTATGACTAGTAATCCTGAATGATGGGGATTTGTGGTATTTACCTGTTTTACGAGATTTGAGTAATTAGTTAGCTTTTGATACACTATTTACACCTCTTCATATAGTCATGGGATAGCTGTATGAATGCTGATGTACCTGAATGTGATGATGATAACAATAATGGTATCTTAAGACGCCATGTAGCAGTAATTTGGGGCGCGAGCAAGTGGTCCAGGAGGGCACGGGGACCCATACAATTCGGGGCTCAACGTCCCCGCGGCCCGGTCCTAGACCAGGCCCGGGGCGGACTAGTTTAAGGAGCAGCCAACCCTGCTGGTACCTGCCCCCGACCCCGCCCCCGCCCCCCAACCAACTCTACCTGAACCACAGTTTCTGACTGGTTTTCCTGCTCCTTAAGAACGCAGAAGGAAAAATGAGCACATAAATTGAGTGTGCCAAGTATGCTATTTATACCGGCTGGCTGCGAGGTCCACCCCAATATACGTCTACGGTCCGCCACGAGGATTGTCACGTGAGTTTATTTACGCATTTGTGGGGTGAAACGCGACTCAAAATGGTCAGAATAATTCGTGTGAACAGCAGCCGGGAAATCACTAACAGCAACATTAACTGTAGTAGTAGTAGTAGTAGTAGTAGTATTAAAATCAATAACAATAGTAGTTGTAGTATAATAACAAATAGATAAATATATTTGAATAGGGGTGGTAGAAGAAGAAAATATCAAAGTGTTCAGTGAGGATCCATAAGGTCTTCCCTGAGTACTCTTTATTTTCTTCTCAGAGGCTATGGGTCCCTACACTTGCACCAGAGGTGGTACCCCCTTTTAGGTTTTTTATTGAATAATATAATAGTTCACGAAAATTCGGTTTGTAAAGCAACTTGGCCTATTAGGTATAATTATATATCATGTATTTACTAGTACCAAACATTCATATGGTATGTTTCACTCTGCAGTTATTGTGAAGTTTTGATATATTTCTCCACAGCTTAGACACCAGCGGTGTTTTGGACTAGTGTTAAGTCCCCGATAGAAGCCTAACGTGTATGAATACACTCTGGCTGCCTCTTCAGATCTGGATCTGAGATTCTGGATCTCCGTAAGTAGCCCTCCTAAGGGCGGGGGAGGGGAGCCCATTGCTACTCCGTCTATCTGCAGATACATGTTACCTTGCGGACTGATGAACGGAGCTTCCTTTGTACCTGCCTGGAGAAGGCTCTTCAAGTGTAGCTTGGGTATGTCTAATTTGAGGGTGCTCTCGTCTCTGTATACTCTGTCCAGGATCATTTCTATGGTGGTGTCGACCGGGACGGTGGTAAATAGGGATTCGACGTCCAGTGAAGCAATAATTCCATCGGGCTGTGTAGTCTTGACTATTTCCAGGAAATCTGCTGATGATTGTAGACTATAGCTGCTAGAAGTGTTAGGAACTAGTTGCTAGGCTAGGAACTCCTAACTCCTATAGTTAGGAGTTCGTTTAGTCTTTTTGCCAGGTTGTAGGCTGGAGTTGGTATTTGGCTGATTATTGGGCGTAGTGGGTTACCTGGTTTATGTCTTTACATTGCCATAGGCATATCCTAAGCCATAGTCGCCTTGGAGTTTAGTGAGATGAATACTACCTTTCTTTGTGTTGATTGCGGTAAATTTTGTTCACTTTGCGTTTAAGGTCTTCCACAGGGCTCATCGTGATTCGTTGAAATTTAGTGACATCACTGAGGATGTCTCCGATTTGATTCATGTATTCTTGGGGCGGGATCATCACATATGCTGCTGTCTTGTCGGCAGATCTTATTGTTACACCTTCCAGATTTTTCAGTTGTTTTGTTGCTTCTTTGAGTCGTGGGGTTAAGATTTTTGATGAATATGTTCCTATATATATATATATATATATATATATATATTATGAAATATGACCGAAAAAGTAAGATTAATAATTCTAACACGAATTTTCTCAATCTTTCGTACATTTCGTTTCACTGTTGGAGGTAAAAAATATATATATATATATATATATATATATATATATATATATATATATATATATATATATATATATATATACCCCCGTTCACCCGATGCTTCCTTCATGAAGGAAGAAGGAAGAGTAATAATTATTAATTGTATTATTATAATACTAATTATAATAATACAATTAAGTGACAGTATAATGCAAATTCACATATATATTTAATGCAGACTTCCTGCCCCCGTCAAAACAAAAGATCTCTCCTTAACGATGGTGGCTT